TGGTATGAAGCAACCCAAATGCTGCAAAGGCACACAAGCGCCACTCCGAACGCAAACCACCAAAGACGCTTCCGGTCACTCTTCGGAACAACACCCGCAGTCGTAGCTACAATTTGGGTTGATCGATCCAGCGTCGACCCTGGAACATGCATTGCACACTTGCTATGGGCTTTGATGTTCCTTAAATTCTATGCCAGCGAAACTGTCCATGCGACGACAGCACGAGTCGATGAAAAGACCTTCAGGAGGTGGGCTTGGTATTGGGTGTCGATACTGTCATCCTTGGACAAGGTAAATCGGTTATACCGCAATTAAATAACATCATTAATAGCTCATATGGGCGAACCGATTTGATGGCGCCCAACCAGATGCTACAATGTTTGTCTCGTTGGACGGTACTGACTTCCGTATACAAGAGCCAACACCATTCGACCTCTCATGGTATTCCCACAAGTTCCACGGTCCTGGCCTGCGCTACGAAGTTGGATTGTGTATTACAACAGGGCACATCGTTTGGGCCAACGGAGGTGTTCCCTGTGGAAGTTGGTCAGACTTATCGCTTGCACGAAATGCCTTCGTGCACGCACTAGAGGACGGTGAAATGGCATTGGCGGATCGAGGGTACACGGATCAAGAGTTTTTCGTAAACTCAAGATATCAACCCGAAAGCGCTCACCGTCAAAAGGAAATCATGGCACGGCATGAGACTGTCAATGCACGGATTGAAGCAGTTTGGTGTGATGCGGCAGATTTTCCGACATCGAACTGATCTCCATATTGAATGCTTCTATGCTGTGATCAACGTTGTCCAGCATGGGATTGAAACCTCCAATCCGCTGTTCTCAGTAGTTGAAGAAAATTAGGTTAATCATTGATTAACAATTTCCTGCAGCCTCCTGATTTACCCCCTGGATCGAAACGGGAATAAATTTGTAATATGCGCAGTCTATAAGGAAATAGAAGTATCAATTATGGAGGCACTACATAACAACCAATAAAATTGTGATCAATTTACTTAAGCTACATACTAGCCATGTTCAGACAAATCTGTGTCAAGAATGCCAGTACAGTTCCAGCAGTTTACGACAGTTGATTGCGACAATGAGCGCCAGGCATCCTTGACCCATGCCATTGCTTGGATAAGACGTACTTCCTACAGTTTGTCTTCTCTGCCTTCCATAACCATTTCGATTTGGTCCAGGGCATTCTGAAGCTGGCGCTGCTTGACCTTCGCAAGCACGCAAAAATACCGGCATTATGTGGCTGCAGGTAGGCTGTGGCAACATCTTCACCCCCACATTTGTCAAAAGGGCGTCATCAGCTGGCTCATGAGGTGGTGCGTTGCCCACAAGCATCAAAATCTTGCGGTCCTCGGCCACCATGCGATCGTTCAGGTCGACCACATCGGAACTGTCTGCGTTGATGGTGAGTGCAAGGGTGATTCGCTTCTTTGACTCCTTTATCCAGGAACGCGGCTACGGGTGATCGACTGGTGCTGCAACAAGCAGTACGAGGTTTCGTCCGTGTTGAAGACGTCGTTCATGTTATAACCACTCGTTTCTTGTAGCATTTTCTGGCGACCGACGATAACATCAGCCGCGGGTGTCGAGGCAGCTTCGCCGTGCTGACCCTTGCTGATGAGTCCGTGTTTTCGTTGGAACTTGTATAGCCAACCCTTGGAAATCGATAGGCACTGGCTACTAAGGGGACGCAGCGCACTTGGTGGAGACGAACATTACGCTGCAGGCACCCGCAATGGGCACCAGGGGAGGTATATTGTGAAATGAGAAACTAAATTTACTTGCTCAATGCGCCCATACTATGCAGAGAAAATGTTTGGGCTGGAACTTGTGTTTTTTTTGTGTGAGTCTGCGGTTATGTGTCCCAATAATTTTTTAAAAATCAGCTGTACTATCCAAAGTAGGATAAATGACCCTATTTTGATCACAATTATGCATAATATATGCAACGTTAGGTCTTGAAAAAGGACCAAAGCTCAATTTGTCACTTTTGTCTCCAAAAAGTTTAGAAAACATGATCATTTACGACGCTATTCACGCACAGCTCTTTCTTCGACTGCTTTGGCTTGACGATCTTGTTCTTCAATGCACCATCGGTACTCGCGCTCCAAGCGCAGGTCTTCGCGGTTTTATTGTTCGATGCGCCACTGGTATTCGCACTCTAAGCGCCGTTCGTCGCGTTCTACAGCTTACTCGTGCATCATAAGTACAACAAACATCATATCCGATTATGCCTTCTTGTCCGCATCAGCAGCGCCGTCGATGAACTTGTCGATAGAGCGACATTTATTGGCGACATCTGACTGCAAAACCCCACCGTCATCAGCTCGCTTGAATTGGCTACTGAGGGTCTTCAGCGCACTGACATCCAAGCCAGTGCGACTTAGCCTTGTCACTTACACGAGAACAGTTGGCTCACTGGCCGGTTCACTGACTGGTTCGATTTCATCACGCTCCGAACCTATTACACAAAATAAATGTTGGATATACTCTACAATCTTATCGATACTGGATGGGGTGTCCTCGTCATCATCACCATCCTCCGTAGTAAGAACGGATGCTTCCACGTCAATCTGACAACCGATACGCTTTGCGCGTGCCACATCCACCGGACATGAAGGGTCACCGGTGGGCTTGGGGTGGTTTCGCAGCAACGAGAACTTGCGCTTCAACGCGTCCATATCACGAAAGGGCCAATGTTGTAGGCATCCTCGACCCGCACCCAAGCGTTCCGCCCTGTAGGCAGAAACGCATCGACGTGGTCCAGCGTCAACGACACCGACGCTGGGCCCCAAGACGTCCCTCCGATCCCTTAGACATGGTTGCGCGTAAATTGATGAGCTGACTAAAATATAACCTGTATGATTTGTTACAACTTTGTGGGGTGGAAATATGCGAGACCTGTAGCATACGTATATGCATATTGCTGACACCGTTTCGGGGTGTCCGCAATACCGTTATGCTACCGGTATTATTATTCGAAAAATGTCTCATTGGCGATCGGTAGCAAAATGAATTGCATGGGTTGTGGTAGTCCTCCTATGGGTACACTGTAAGCGTAATAGACTTGTCAGTTCCTACTAGAGTAAATAACATCAAAACAATATGTAATTATGTATCAAATTAATTACACTACTGGGTATTTCTCATATCATTTGAAATGAATGACCCCTAAAGGACAGTGCGTGCTCTTAATTGTTTCACGCTCTGTCCAGTATACTTGATCGCCCAAAAGTGCTCATAGAGACGAACAAAAATGCCCATGTTCAGGGACGACAGTCGATGACTTTGTCCGAAATAACCCCCGTGAGACTGAGATTTTGGCTGTGGGTAGTACCATAGATCAGTGGAGTTGACTTTGCCAAAGTCAACTGGATCAAGTCTGGTTATCGACACAGAGGTTTTATTGACATGGATTGGATACATGTACGTAACGAGTACGAATGAGGCATGTTCGTCAAGGGCTCGAATGGTATGAGCGGTTATACCATTCCATAACGACTCGGACAAATATTTGCTGGATATGTGCTTCGGACGCGCACTTCAATGGATTTATGCATTAAATGCGAATAGTTGTACCTCAGGCCTTGTCCGGGTAGCGGCACGGGCTAAGGCCTACCTGCCGGTTTTCCCGACAAGAGGAATCGATTGGACATTTGGTGAAGTGCACGATTGGGGCTCACTCCTCGCCAAGGCACCGCCTGCACAAAATTATACACACGACCTCCGCTACGCTGCGGTGCGCGCAATTTTGTGGGCGCTCTCTACTGTAAAGCTGATCGTTCTTATGCGGGTGTATACAATACACAAGTATGTCCGAACATATTCGTTCGGACACTTTCATTCGGACAAAATATGTTCCCCTTAAGTCCAATACAAATGCCAAGTATGTCCGACTGAATTTGTCCAAACGGTGTCCGCAAAGTGATCATATTCAACCATATTACTGGTGGAGATAATGAACCGTTACCAGGATCATAAACGGTTACGTACACTTCGTTTTGTGAGGCTGATTAGCCATTGTATTTTGAAGTTCGATTATTATGACAAATCAAACCAGCTCAATTATATAGTATATAGTGATACACTGCCAAACTTCGGTGTCCCGTTGACAAAGTCTCGCAAGTTGATTTGCTATCACCTTTTTTTATTTAACGTTAACGTTAGCTAAAAAATCGTACTATTTAGAGTATACTAGTATTATGAAATCAAGTTTTCATTGACTTGACACATCGCACGTCGACGGAAGTACCTCAGTTGGTGAATTTAGGTTCAAGATTTCGTTTAATGAGTGGCCAAAGCACCATGTTCATTTTATTTTGAAATGGAATTTTAGGTACTATTTATACAGTACTGTGGATGTGTAAATTCATTGGCAGATTTAGTCTTGGTTGAAGTATTGATACGATTTGAAAATTGTACTTTCTTCGACACCTAACTGAAAATGTGCCTTGCCGTACGGAAAGTACAAGGGGGATTTACCGGGGAAGTACCTATGATGGAAAAGATTCTTCAACTATATTAAATGCTTTTGAAAACCAAGTATACCATACATAATTAAATCATGCGGATCACACTTCGTGGGAAATACTTGATATCCGGATGTCCCAAAGCCTTTTAACCTTGCAGCGCAGGCGCACCTCACTTTCGAAGTGGCTTAAGAGTAGCAATGAGTTCGTCGGCGCCGCTGAGTCCAGCCTTGGAAGCTCAGAAGGCGATCTATGACGAAGCCATGGTACATGTGAATGCTGGTGTTGCTGCACAGAGCGCCAACAACCAAGCAGACGCGGAGAAAGCGTTCACGGCCGCCGTGGTAGTGTTGACGAAGGGTCTCGCGCTCAAGTTCTCCCACGAAGATATAGACGCGTCGGCGCGACTGACCAAGAAGATGGGACGGTACCTCGACATGATTAAGGGTCAGCATGCCAAGTCTCTGGAGAGTTCGTCAGCGAAGTACAACATCTTGGACTTTGACAACTTGCCCGAGCGGTACGAGCCGATCACCAAGCTCTTGACGACGTCCCCCGTTCACGGCGACATCTTTGCGTCGATGCAAAAGATCTTTGGGTTCCAAGACACGAGCGTGAAGAACCAAAAGGAGCACTTGCTGCTTCTCTTGACCAATTACAAGGAAAGCTTGGAAACCCCCGTGCCGGAAGCGTACACGGAAAAGGTGAAAAAGAGCGCGAAGGACAAAGTGGTCGAATTGCCCAAGGACGCCGACGACGCCGCCGTCCAAGCTGTGACCAAGTTGCACCTGCGCCTCTTTGACAACTACCACAAGTGGTGCAAGTACCTCAAGGTGCCGCCGTCCTTCTCCACCGAGCCATTGGCGGACTTGGTCTTGTTTTTTCTCATGTGGGGCGAAGCGGGCAACTTCCGCCAAACCCCCGAACTGCTCTGCTTCTTGTTCCATTCGTTGTGCGCGACCGCGCAACCCACGGAGACCCCCAAAGAGTCGGGCTTCTACTTGACCACAGTCATCCGCCCCATTTACGTCGAAGTGAAGAAGGACAACGACAAGAAGACGCCGCTCGGCCAACGCGCGCCGCACAAGGAGATCCGCAACTACGACGACTTTAACGAGTTCTTCTGGACCAAAGCATGCCTCAAGTATGACGCCTACAACATCAAGGAAGCGCTGGGCGCCGTGGACAAGAAGGGCAACCCGAAGGACGCCAAAAAGACGTTCATCGAGACGCGGTCATGGGCGCGGGCGCTGTGGTCGTTTCGGCGCATCTTCCTCTTCAATTTCACGCTCTTTTGCGCCGTCGTGGGGTTTGCACTCAACATGGTGCTGCTGTGTCCAGAGAGTCCCATCATGTACGGCCCCGACATGGGCAAGGAGCTCGCGATCTTTGGGAAGCAGTACTTCAACCCCAAAGCCCGGTACAGTCTTGCCAACGACGACAGCACGACCACCTCGGGTCTGTGCAACCTCCCCAAGCTGGCCACGTGTCTGGGCGTGACGGACTTCGTACCCGGCGTCACATTTGGCATCATCCCCCAAGACTTCAAGATGCTCATCGCGGATGTGCCGTTCCAGCCGTGTGTGGAGATGTTGTCTGGGCGATGCACGTGCTACATTGAGATCTTGGACCGATGCTTGAGCCAAGTCGGGTCGGGGAAAGCGCTCGTGTCGGATGCTTCCTCGGGCAACACTCGCGACTTTAAGATGGTCAAGTACGACCAGCGCAAGTGCATGCCAGACTGGAAGAAGGCCGCGTTCAAAGTGATCAACAACGCCGGCCCGGGGCTGCTCAACTGCGCCGTGTGCAACATCCAAGCGCCGACGCTCGTGCCCAACTTGATGGTGAAACTCATCGACACGAGTCGTACCGACATGGGTCCGCTCATCTTTGCCGGGGGCGTGGGGCTCGTGGGGCTGTTTCTTGTGGGGGAAGTGAGCAACCGCCTCTTCTCCGGCCTCTTTATCGGGTACGTGGGCCGCAACCTGCCCGTGCCGTGCTGCGGGTACCTCCGGTACATGTGCTTTTGGCTGTTCCTGTTCACGGTCAAGATCATGTTTGGGTACAACTTTATGGTCAAGAACCTCGTCGAGACGTCGCTCATGATTTGGATGTCGGACCCGCTGCAGTACCTCAAAGTGTCCAACTTTATGATCCAAGCGTCGTACCACAACGTGGTGTACATTGCGTTCCTGTGGCTGCCTGCGTTCATCGTGTTCATGTACGACGCGCAGATCTTCTACGCCCTGTTTTCGGTTGTATTTGGGTCCATCCGAGGCTTCAACCTCCGCATCGGCGAGCTTCGATCGTTCCGCATCCTCCGCTTGGCATTCAAGGATATTCCGCGCATGTTCAATTACAAGTTGGTTTCAAATGCCATCGAATCCAAAGTGTCTCAGCAAGCCATCGACGCCCCACACTCCAACACACAAATTGCCAAGAAGAAGACGACGATCTCCCCAGTAGTATGTCCCACCGCCACTATCGACGAGCAGCCCCTTCGCATCCAAACGACGCTGTACTCTGGCGCGACAGACGACGACACCCCCACTAGCCAAAGCGGCACCACCAATCGGAGCTGCTTTGGCTCGGTGGTGTCGGGCATCGGCGGCGAAGAGTTCGACCGCGTGATCCCGTTTGCACTCGCGTGGAACCGATGCCTCCGCAGCATGCGCGACGCCGATGTGATCTCGAACCGCGAGTTGAGTGTGCTCAGCTACTTGATTGAAGGCGACGATGACGCCAGCTCGAGACGGCGACTGTACACGCCCGTGTTTTTGACCGCGGGGAAACTGGACGAGTCGCTCGAGATCATCACCGACTGCGGGGTCGTGTACGACCGCCTCAAGAGCGACAAGAAGAAGGACGCGGCGCTGGCCAAAGTGGAGCTGTCCATGCACCAGCGCGTGACAAAGGACAGCTTGCGCGTCGAAGCGTGCGTCGGGTCGTTCAAGTTTACGGTGCGGGTGCTGCAGCTGCTTCTGGGCGACGCGCATGCCGACATGGACGCGTGCTTTGAGTTCGTGGAAGAGTCCATCGTCAACAGAACGGCGCTCAAGGGGCTCAACGTGGCCAATCTGTACGATCTCCGGTCCGCCAGTGCCGAGCTCATGAAGGCCATCTTGGACACGCCCACAAGCTCGAAAGACGACAGTTTGCACTTTCAACGGGCACTCTATCGTGTGATCGACTCGGCCGAGCAAGTTCTAGGGCAACTCAAGAAACTCCTGTCCAAGCAAGACAGTTTGGTCGCCATCTTGAAACACACCCCGCTCAAGCCCAACGCGTTCTTCATTGCGCCAGAATCGACGCACCAGTATGCGACGGTGCAACTGCAAACGCTCGTGTCGGACCCGGCGTCCATGGCGATCGTGAGCCGGGCGTACCAAGTGCTCACGGTGGACAACTTTGACGCAGAGCCGCGGTCCGAGGAAGGCCAGCGCCGCCTCCGGTTCTTTGCCAACTCGATGTTCATGGACATGCCGCTGGCCCAGTCGGTCAAGCGCATGCACTCGCTGTCGATCGCGACGCCGTACTACAGTGAGATCGTCCTCTACTCGATCAAGGAGCTCACGCAAGCCAACGACGACAGCATCAAGCTGCTGTACTACCTCCAAACGATCTACCACGTCGAGTGGGACCACTTTCTCGAGCGGTTCAAGGTCAAGGACGAGGCAGACGCGCTGGCCAAAGTGCCGGAAGAGGTGCAGCTGTGGGCGTCGTATCGAGGGCAGACGCTGGCGCGCACGATCCGAGGCATGATGTACAACGCCGAAGCGATCCGGTTCCTGTACTGGCTCGAGCTCGGCAACAACGAGCCCATGCCCGAGTCTGCCAACAAGGACCTGGACGAGATGGTCGCGCTCAAGTTCAACTACGTCGTGACGTGCCAGATCTACGGCAAGCAAAAGGACGAGGGCAAGCAGCAGGCAGGGGACATTGAGTACCTGCTCAAGAAGCACCCTGGGCTCCGCGTGGCGTACGTGGACGGCCCGAAGAAGATGAAGGAGGGTCCGCCAAAGTACTTTTCGTGTCTGGTGCGGGCGGCCAACGACAAGATCGTCGAAGTGTACCGCGTGGAGCTACCTGGCGACCCCATCGTCGGCGAAGGCAAGCCCGAGAACCAGAATCACGCCGTGATCTTTTCCCGCGGCGAGCTCATCCAGTGCATCGACATGAACCAGGACGGGTACTTGGAGGAGTGCTTGAAGATGCCCAACCTGCTGGCGACGGTGGACCGCCCCGAACATGCCGCGAGCCCCGTGACCATCATCGGGTTCCGCGAGTACGTGTTCACGGGCGGCGTGTCCAACCTCGCTAGCTTCATGCAGATCCAGGAGCTGTCGTTCGTGTCCCTCGGCCAGCGTATGCTCGCGTACAACTATGTGCGACAGCACTATGGCCATCCAGATATCTTCGACAAGCTGTTCGCGATGGGTACGGGGGGTACGGCCAAGGCATCGCGGGGGATCAACCTCTCGGAGGACATCTTTGCCGGCTTCAACACGACGCTGCGGGGCGGACGGGTCTCCCACGAAGAGTTCATCCAGGTGGGCAAGGGGCGCGACGTGGGCATGCAGCAGCTCGCGCTCTTCGAAGCCAAGCTCTCGTCCGGCGCCGGCGAGTGCGTCACATCCCGCGACGTCATGCGCATGGCCACGCGCCTCGACCTGTTCCGGCTGCAGTCGTGGTTCTACGGCAACCTCGGCTGGTACTTTACGCAGACCATGACTGTGTTTGGCGTGTACTTTTTCATCTACGGCAAGATCTACTTTGCACTCAGCGGCATGGACGCGTTCTACCTCCAGCTCGGCCGCCTCGGCATCAGCGGCGTCCTCAACACGTCATGGGCGCTCCAGTTTGGCTTCCTTCTCGTCGTGCCTGTGATTGGCGTCGTGGGGGTCGAAAAGGGGTTCCGTCATGGGTTGTCGTACTTGTTCTACAACGTGTTGACGCTAGGCCCGCTCTTCTTTACCTTCCAAATGGGCAACCGAATGCACTACTTTGATCGGACGTTGATCCACGGAGGAGCGAAATACCGCGCCACCGGACGGGGGTTCACGATCAAGCACGAAAAGTTTGCCGAATTGTATCGGTTCTACGCGTTCTCGCACTTTTACCGGGGCGTGGAGCTCATGTTTCTGTTGTGCATGTTTGGCATTTACGGGTCGTTCAACTGGTGCAACTGCTCGTGGACGATCGACCGCATGTTTTACAACGACGTGGAGCCGCTCCCGTACGAGTGGCGGCAGCGCTGCTATGCCAACTTTTACCAGCAGTGCGTACTACCCACCAACCAGAACTACGGCATCATGAGCTACTCATTGTGGCTGATTGCGGCGACGTGGGTGTGGTCTCCGTTCTTCTTTAACCCGAGCGCGTTCGACTGGGAAAAGCTCATGGCCGACTTTAGCGACTGGCAAAACTGGCTCAAGACCAAGAACGACTCGGCCGAGAGTTGGTATGGATGGTGGACGGCCGAGCTGGACTTTATGGAGCACTCGACGTCGTTCTCGTGCTTCATCACGGCCGTCCGCAAGACGCGCTTCCTCCTCGTCGCCATCGGCATCTACCTCCAGCTCATGTACCGGTTGTTCTACAAGGACCTGCACAAGACTGTAGCTGAAGGGGACCCGATGAAGCCATACTTTTTGGCTGGTGCGATCCTCGTGGTACTGCTAATCCTCGGCTGCTGCGCATGGATAGCTAGCCGCGTAGCCAAGAAGATGGCGTCCAAGCAGCGCAAACTTCGCACGCTCAAGTTTAATATCTCTGGCATCGTGCTCGTGCTGGTCGTGGCGTCGCTGCTTTACATTTCCGTGCACAACCTCGCCGAGATCTTTGTCATTGTGTGCCTCGGCATGTACTGGTTCCTTCAGATTGCCATCGCCCGCCGCAAGCAAGAGCACGCCGTGACGATTCAAATCGCCCAGTTCTTTGACATTGTCATTGGGTGGATTGTGTTTGGCCCCATCTTGTTCATCTCCATGTTCATGCCGTTCGTGTCGGCGTTCCAGCAGCGCGTGATGTTTAACAGCGCGTTCACGTCGGGCTTGGAAGTGTCCAAGCTCTTGGGCAATGATGTCGTGGCCGAGTCCAAGCAGCCAGTGGCCGCCCCCGCAAAGGAAGAGCCCAAACCCAAAGCCAAGGCGACCAAGAAGAAAAAGATCGACGAACCCACGCACTACGGCGCCATCTAATTCGAGTCTTGGAGTCTTTGCTTGTATATACACAATTTATATCGTGGATTTGGATGTTGATCAACCACCACTACCGCTGCAATGATGGTGGCATGCCGTCGCCATATATATAAGTACCGGTAATGTATAGGGTCGCAGGAGTATAGATTAGGTATTGGTTGTCGATTCGAAATTGGTCAATCGAATGAACAGAATAAACCCAAACCGACAGACAATCGAAAATAGACCAATCAAAACCCAGATCACGAATCAAGTGGCCAATCACAAATTCACGAATTCAACATCGAATTAGTGTGTAAATGAAATTAGTGTGACACTGGACGAAAAGTCAGTCCAAAGAATCGATCTGCCCAGGGTCACGTCACACATTAATCAGCACAGAATTAAAATCACTCACCGGACTTGATGAATGTATGGTCAAACGGGTAACAATATTCATATACAGAGGTAACGTAAACTCTATAATATAATTATCTTATATGAGTACGACTCGCTCGAGTCAGGCAGACATCCCTGCCATAATCATGATAACAGTCCTCGTCCTCTATATCGACAATGCTCATGTAAGAAGTTTGGGCCAATTGGCTCGACCACTTGCTTGTTCACAAGAGACAGTTCACACTATACAAATATCATCAGTCTGATTTAGGAGAAATTTAAATAAATCCTCGTAATAAAAATGATTTTGCGGCAAAATTTGAGGTGAAAAGTGGAGGTAATTTGGGACAGAGTAGTACCGAATTAACGGATAATCGTCCAGACAACAAAGCTTTGTTTGCACAGATAAGACGCAGGATCATGTCACCCTACACATACAGTACAGAAGACCTGTAACCTGGGACTCCGTACCTAACCCCGGTGGGCACGTGTACCGTACGTGTATTTCACGCTATTTCCGGGGTTGTGTTGCATCCCAGTGGTTAGCTACTTAACGTTAAAGCCTTGTCTAAATGTGTTGTGAAATCCACTGTACTTATCTGTGCAATAACCAGGACAAATATCCGTTAGTTAATTCGATATTCCCCGAGAAAAGGTAGTTTTCGACCTCCAGCACGCAATACGGAAACTACCTCGTCCCCATTTTTGCACGAGGGCATACTAATTCAATATTTTCCAAAAACTTATCATTTTAAATTTCAAGAGGATCGATTTGAAATTCTAAATTGTTTTTTTTAAACGCAATGCCGGCTGTTGGGTTCACACGGGGATTGTACCTCAAGTATCGATTGATGGATGCCTTTGAAAGCAGCTCATCTGTGTCGGTGGACTTACTTTTTACTCTGCTAATGTCAACTTGTATGATCTTATAAAGTTCTTACACTTTGGAATCCAATACCTGTCTTTATTTATCAAATCATGGACTTTCTCAAGAAGGTTCCACAAACCCAAACTGCTGGTATTATGCGGAAACCTGCGGAAAGGCACAAACCAATTTCTGATGGACGATGTAGTAGCCCGACAGAGACGGAAGCGCGAGTACATTCGGACCTTTATGCAGGAGTACCGTGGCAAGCAGAGGCAAGACAAGGAAACATTGCAAGCCCAGATCGATCGTTTGGAAGCGCGCGTGGCTAGATACCGCAAGAACACGGTCTTGGATGATGACAGTGGGTCCGGCATGCTGCCGTGGAAGGACGTGGCGGCGGGCTTGCACGACTCGCGGAGTGAAGCATCGAAGGATCAACGGGCTCTATCCAGTCGCATCAAGGAGTACGAGCAAGTCCTTTCTGAACTGAGGTCCTTCGTCATCGCCTCCATCGCTCCTCAGGTTCGACCATTCGTTCGTCCTTGATACAGTGCGATATACCTCACGAGAAAGCTCTGCGCAGAAGTCCCCCAGCATCCACACAGCTACTTGGCGTGACGTGACGCTGCTCTCCCATCCCACAAGTCGCCGTCTCGGGAAGCTTTGGATCACGCAGCAAATGCGCTACAACATGGATCGTCTGTTTGAGCATCATGAGATCCCATCACCCGAGTCCATGGCACTGTACAATTCCATGGACGTCGTATTCCATGAGGAAGGCCACCACTTCCTCCAAAAAGCGCACTTGACGTGGGAATGTTCCCTGGAGACAGTCGTGCGATTGTATCGGCACCACACGGGATCCATGTTCACGCTGGATGGGTTTTGTCCCATGCATTCCCAGGTAGCAGGGATATATCCATATCGACTAACGATATAGGGATAATTCCCCTTTGTGTTCACATGGATATGTAGAGTCGCGTGGAAGCGGAGGAGAACACGACGTTGCACCAGTACAAGCGTCCGAACGGATGGAACACGCACTTGCTCTGTGGGGAGTTCCAAGATGGGGATCGAACGATTCTTGTCGCACAGCACATTCTATCCGATGAAGATCGTCAACACCATGCTGGACGGCAGCGCAGTCGCATGACGTGGTATGTGTCACCTGTTTCAGTGTTGAGCTCATGACAACCAGGATCGAACTGCGGCGGGTGTCGGCCACCGTGACAAGAGAGCGGTTCCTCTGTGTCATCTCCCATGAGATTGATCAAGACGGGACGGCAGTGGGGCTGGAAGAGACATCCAAGCGGTGGGGCATGATGTCCCTTGCCCATATCAAGGACGACGACCAGCGCGAGCGAGTATTCCGCATGGTATATCGAGCGCGGAATGTTGCATTGAAGCACCAGCGCAAAAAGTGGTACGAGGACTTGGTTGCCGCCGCCGAGGATGAGCTGAGCCGCCATCGAGAGAACATGGGAGAAGCATGACGAAGATGGGGGAGCACTGGCTCCTGTAGGAGTGGGCGTATTTAAAACTAATTTCAAATGTTGAAATGTATTTAAAACATAGGCTGTCTAAGCTTAGACGTAGAGTAATTTAGACTGTTGGTGGTTTCAAACCATAGTAGGTAATTTAAAATGGACATAATATGTTTTAAATGCATTTCAATTGCGTTGTGTATTTTTTCGTGCATCGAGAAGAAAACAGTTCAAATTCTTGCAACTAGCGATAATGGACGACTCCGCGGACGAGCGGAAGGAGCGGAAGCGAGAGTACATCCGCCACTTCATGCAAGGGTACCGCGACAAGCAAAGGAAATCGAAGCATGTCCTGCAGGCACAGATCGTTCGGTTGGAAGAACGCGTGATAACGCTGCATCGTGACCGACAGCGTCAGCGAACACCAAAAAGCGACGACTCGTCGACCACCATGCTACCCTGGCGAGACGTTGCAGCGGCAATGCACGACATGCGACAGCATTCCTCCATGCAAAGACGGACGCTAACCAGTCACGTGCAGGAGTGCGAGCAGGTCCTTGCCGAGCTCAAGGAATGGATGGCGATGTCCACCATCCACGCGACTCCGAGTACACACCGAACATCATGGCGCGATTTCACGCTGCTCGCCCACCCCACCAGTCGACGTCTCGGAAAGCAGTGGATCACACAGCAAATGTACCACAACCTCGACCGCGCGTTCATGCAGCACGGCATGCCGCCACCGCATCCCCTTGCCGTGTCCAGTCCGGACAACATGCATCATTCCATGGATCTCGAATTCTCCGACGACGGACACTGCTTTGTGCAAAAGGCGCAGAAGATATGGCTCCTTCCCTTGGAGACAGTCGTCGCGCTCTTTCGGCGGCACACGGGCTCCATGTTCACCCTCGACGCGTTCACGCCCGTGCATTCCCAAGTAAGTACCATATACCTTTCCATAAAGTACTCAAGTGATGCAGATCGCCACAGAAGAGGACGGGAACACGACCCTGCATGTGTACCCCCCCTGCGCCTCGGGAGGGTTCTCCTTCAGCTTGCTCTGCGGCGAATTCCATTCACACGATCGAATTGTCCTAGTGATTCAACAGCTGCAAGGCGACGAAGCCATCCCGACGGCCAATCATCATCGCCTGCGCAAGCGCATGGTGTGGTATGTGAATGTCACAGACTTGACATGTCCTCGTGAAACGACGATATGTCACACGAATGAAATGTCGTAGGATTGAGCTTCGCCGCGAGTCTCCAACTTCAACCTACGAGCGCATCCTCAACATAACGTGGCACGACACGACCCCAGATGGAGTGGACGTGTCACTGGACGAATTGGCGGCCCGATGGGGCGTGGATCTGGGTCAAGTGACCGACGACGCTGAGAAGGAGCGGCGGCTGGTGCTGGGGTATCGGGCTCGGAACAAATCGCTGGTCCAGCAAAGGAAGCAATGGTATGCAGAGTTAGTGCACATGACCATCCAGCAGCAGCAACAGCAGCAGTACAATGCTCACATGGATACCGAATAATAGTCAAGAGCATATTAATATATCGCGTGGGGTAGAATACTATGCAGTGTGTCGATAATACTCGAGCAGTAATAAAATACTTTATAAGGGCCCGTCTGGATGCCACCCACCAATATTATGGGATATTGGAATATTGAATAAAAAACATTTTTCGACATTGCAGGAAATTCTTGGGTTTCAAGATCCAAGAATGATTTTGGGTGGTGTGTCTGGATGCCATAGAATTAATTGTAAAGAAAGTTCGGAAATGAACAGCCAATCAGAGGATACCGCAGAGCCACCCAGAGAGGACCACTGAGGATGGACGTCCTCTTTGGTGTCTTGTGGACGAAGGCGAGGTAGTGATACTCCATCTGTCTGACGAAGAGTTCCTTGGCCAGGCGGCGGCGGATGAGCCATCGACGTAGGAAGGCAATTACGATGGCCTTTCTCATTCTGAAATGCCCAGTCAATTGAACGCGCACTGCCAATATCGTCAAAATATTCTACTTATGAGTAGAACATTATTTCTTGTGGTTTTCACGATATTTCTGATAAAATTATGGAATATAACTTGGTCAAGAAATGGCATCCAGACACGCCAAATTGAAGTCGCTTATATTCTTGAATATTTTGCAAAATTATCGCGATATTTCTCAATAAAAGTGGTATCCAGAACGGGCCCTAAAGTATTGCCAATTTGATACTACGTAGTACAATTTTGTACTGGTACTACGTATTAATAGTATCAAATTGACAATACTTTAGGGCCCGTCTATCGATCTGATTGGTTGAATTCCATTGAGAAGGTTTTGATTGGCTAATAATTTTGAGCTCATCTGAGGTAGCCAATCAAATCGATTTAAATTCCATCGAGAAACCACGCCACAACACGAATTTTCACTCGAAAGCACCATACTACTGGCATTACTTTTAGTACGTGTACAGGGAACGATCCATCCATCTGAAATGTCCGTCTTAATATTATGAATTTGCTACATATTTTCCAATTATGCGCGATTCGTAAAACCGATCACAAATCTCGCCGCGAAATAATTTCATTGGCTTTCCCGATTCTGCAGAAAGCGTAAAACGAAGAAATAATGGAGCCAATTAGCGACAAGCATTTTCAGATGGACCAATGGGAGCAATTCGGGAATTCGAACCAAATCAATATTATTTTAAATGAGTTCACAATATATATATTAACACCGTACAGGTTGATCGATCGCATGTTCGTGTTAATGGGATGTACGGAGGAAGATATGAGAGAGCTTCCGATGCAAATGACTGAGATACGCTTCTTCGGACGGGAGGCCATGGAGTGACCCGTACAAGTATCGGATGGACACGACCACGAAGACGGCAACGGCGGCGTTGACGGCATCCCATGCAATGCTCCAGCACACGGACATGAACCAAGATGTCCAGGAAGTGCTGGTCGTCGATTCGGCGGTAGCGGCGACGTCGGTAGCATGAGAGGATGCGTCGGGCAGGGCAGCAATGTGAGAAGTTTGTCGTCGGCTGACGACTTGCATGGTGAGTGGAGGGCGGTACTTGCGATAGCTCAATCGACGATCGATGGGAAGTTTTTCCGACGTCGTAAGCGATGGGCATTCCATGGGTCCAAGGGCAGTCGCCGGTGAAGCGAATGGGTCCGCTGATGGCGGACATGATGGAGCGGAATCATCGTGTTGTGAAGATTCTTGTGGACAGAGGATGGGAGGCATGTGGGCAAGGAGTCGTCGAACGATGCATGAGGCCACGACGAGAGCCGTCGCGACCGCTGCGAAGGACATTGGTGGCGGCAGCGCAGCCTCGGTAGCCTCCATCACGTCGATGGCCAGAGCAAAAATACAAGAAACCTCCGCAAGACGGTTTCCATTTTCTTCAGTTACAGCTCTCTGATTGGTCCAATTTAATCGCCTTTGATTGGCAAACGTGCCGAACGACTTTTTTACTGACAAATGAGAGCAATGGTGAATGAAGGGCGACTTGATGGGGCCATTACGCTTGATGCATGCAGAATCGTCATGGAGTACGTACTGTAGTGACATTTGGCTGGCCGTTAAAGAGCCAGAAAAGGGACGCTCCCGACAATTGAAATGGTGGCAAGCCAATCCGAAGCGCCGTGATCCGAAATAGCAGCCAATGGCATCACTTGATTTCAATGCCTTTTCACACCTGACGTCCATGCCTCGGTACTGGGTAATAATGTAAGTAAGTACTTCTGAGTCAACGTTGGATTGACCACACCGGCCTCTGCAGCCATGCCGCCAAAGAAAGACGATGGACTGGCCAAGATGCAGCGCAAGATCCGCAAGCGAGGATACATGCGCACATTCATGCAGGTGTACCGGAACCGCGAGCGGTGCGAGGTCGAGAGGCTCAAGGCCCAAGTGGAGGAGCTCGAGCTCGACCTGGCCAAACGGTTGGTCGAACGGAAAGCAGCACGGAGCGAGAAGACCACCAAGAGCAGTCCACTCGAGTCGGAACTGCCTTGGAAAGAAGTGGCGAAGGCCATGTACGAGATGAGTCAGGAAGTTGCTACCACCCGTCGGATGCTTCAGCACGACGCGGCCGAAGCCGAGGTCGTTGGACTCGACTTGCAGGGCTGGGTAGCCTCCTTCGGCAACCCCACGGTTGGAGTAATCATATGGACTTGAGTAGCTCAAGTGTATGATGTAGGCGCCGCTGAGCAGCCGGTGCCAGACCTGGCGCGATGTGACGCTGCTGTCGCACCCGCGGTCGCGGCAGCTGGGCAAGCAGTGGATCACGCAGCACATGTATCACAACGCCAACCGCATTTTCCAGCAGCAGGAGTGTCCTCCCGCGTACTACAACATCATCGACAACAGCTGGGACATCGACTTTTCATCGGGCGAGTGCTACTACATCGTCGAGCGCGGCCATGTCGACTGGAACATGTCGTTAGCCAACGTGCAGTCCATGTTTCGAAACCACATGTGCTCCATGTTTACAATCGATGCTTTTTGTCCCCTCACCACCAACGTAAGACGAGAAATCGCGTACGAGATGTTGTTTTAGTCCGAGTTGTTTTACCATGCGTTTTGGGTGGAATTAACTTAACTTCACATGCTTTTGTGAATGATTAGACGCTGGCGGAAGCGTCCGACAACACGGTGCTGCATCAGTTGGTTCCGTCGGGGGAGAGCAGCCCTGTGACACAGTACGTCAACCTCCTCGGCGCCGAGTTCAATGAAAGCCACGACCGGTCCGTGGTGGTTGTGACGCAAATCCAGGACGACGAGATGGCGGCTCACAGTGCCACGTCATTGCCCCAACGCAGCCGCATGACGTGGTAAAATGATCCCAACTCGTTTATCCCTTGGTCATGTTGTTTGCATTGCAGGGTTGAGTTCAATGGCGATAGCCACCGGACGCGGGGGAGATACGTGTCGATCGTGTCGCAGCAGTTTACGACCGGCGGCGGGTTCGTGTCGATGGCGGACGAGGCGCGGGAGTGGGGCTTCGACCTGAGCCAGGTCCCGCCGTGGGAGCAGGAGCAGCTGTTCGTGCGGCTGCACCGCCAGCGCCACGAAGGGCTGAGGGCGTCCCGGCAGCGATGGTACAGTGATCTCATCACGCAGGAACTGACCACCCGCGAGTATGCACACACGATCAAGCTAGAGCCTGCATCACGATAACTAACGTTGCAGTACGTAACAGCGACACAATCAAATGTACTGAATAGGATTGAGCCAATCAGATTGCAGAAAACCAACATTGAATTAGTGTGTGCCATAAATTAGTGTGATTCCAATGTCACGGAATCGAATGAATTTGGCAATTTCAGTAGGTCCTATCCAATCAAACGTCACTCCTGAAACATTTCAGCCAATAGTTGAAACCACATGGGTTTAGGTGGCCAATTTGGTCCAATGAAAATGTTGCTCTTTGAAATCTTCGTGTTACGATGACGTATCGACTTGCACGAGTAATTTCATCATGTTGTCGTTGGCCATGGCCAGGGCCACATTCGTGCGGGACACCATCGTGTTGCGCAGCGTCGTGCGCTTCATGTGGTCGCTGAGGCCATTGACGTCCACGGAAACCCGCTTGGCTTCGACATCCACGGACGTGTACCCGTCGTTGGTGAAGTTCTGAGACGTTTCACAGTACACGCGAAGCTGGGTCTTGGTCGCCGACAGCCGCTTGATCTCGAGCCTAACTTGTGTTTAGTCTAAACTCGAGCAGAATAGTCGAAGGTCTTAATAGAATCAAGAACCGCCTGAGCCAATCAAATCACGTCCACCTGTCGAATTTCTGCCAATCCAAACGTTTGACCCCTCCGCAAGAATTGGGCAAAACCACATGCATATTAATCGTTGTAAAGTACATGTATAGGGCGTACAACACATATATACTAATCATTGTAAAGTACATGTATAGGGTGTACAACACATATATATACTTATCGGTGTAAAGTATACTGTGTACAAGATGAAATAGGATCAAAT